AACAAGCACTGCTGAGCGATCCTTCAGAGAGAGAGATGAGAGTAGAGATTAACATACCTAACCTGGTCATTAACAAACATGTAACTGTACACCACGCTCACACCCCCCGCACCAGTCTCCTTCCCACGGGCACCAACTGTGTAACTCTCTCTCACTTCTGCTCCCCCCCCCCTCCCTCTCTCACTCCCCCTCCCTCTCTCTCTCTCTCCTCTCTCCCCCCCTTTCTCTCTCCCTCCCTTTCTCTCTCCCTCCCTCCCTCTCTCTCTCCCTCCTCTCTCTCTCTCCCTCCTCTCTCTCTCTCCCTCCTCTCTCTCTCTCCCTCTTCTCTCTCTCTCCCTCCTCTCTCTCTCTCTCCCTCCCTCCCTCCCTCTCTCACTCCCCCTTCCCTTCTTCTCTTCCTCGCTCTCTCTTTACTTCCATAAACATTAGTGAACTTGCTCGAAACACAGTGTCTTCCACTCAATAAAACATCAAACTATTGGGACCAATTTACATGTTTAAATCTGTGTTCTTTAGAGAGCAGGCGAGAGAGATACATAATAATTTACACGTGGTAATGATTAGAGGAGCTGATCACAAACCTGCACACAGAAATAACACCACATGAGACCAGAAGGCATGGCAGGATGTGCAGAATACCCCCGTTGAAGAGCAGAGGTGCAACAGGTACTCTGAGAGAGAACTATCAACATCAGAGGCCCGAGACTGTTCAACACGCTTCCACTACACATAAGGGGCATAACTGGCCGACCCTCACAGTGTTCAAGAGAGAACTGGATAAGCACCTCCAAAGGATACCTGATACCTGCTTGATGGGGTTCTGGTAGTTCTTCTACTCCCCAAGCCCGGCCCAAGGCCAGGCTTGACTTGTATTCACCTAGTTGAGCTTGTGGGGGTTGAGCTCTGCTCTTTCGGCCCGCCTCTCAACTGTCAATCAACTGTTTAACTACTATATTTTTCACACACACACACACACACACACACACACACACACACACACACACACACACACACACCACACACACACACACACACACACACACACACACAGGGGCCTCGTAGCCTGGTGGATAGCGCGCAGGATTCGTAATTCTGTGGCGCGGGTTCGATTCCCGCACGAGGCAGAAACAAATGGGCAAAGTTTCTTTCACCCTGAATGCCCCTGTTACCTAGCAGTAAATAGGTACCTGGGAGTTAGTCAGCTGTCACGGGCTGCTTCCTGGTGTGTGTGTGTGTGTGTATAGTGTGGAAAAAAAAAGTAGTTAGTAAACAGTTGATTGACAGTTGAGAGGCGGGCCGAAAGAGCAAAGCTCAAACCCCGTAAAAACACAACTAGTAAACACAACTAGTAAACACACACACACACACACACACACACACACACACACACACACACACACACACACACACACACACACACACACACACACACACATTTATCTGTCTATTTAACACAAGGGGAACACGCACAAGGGGACACAGGTGGAAACTGAGTGCCCAAATGAGCCACAGAGATATTAGAAAAGAACTTTTTTAGTGTCAGAGTGGTTGACAAATGGAATGCATTAGGGGGTGATGTGGTGGAGGCTCACTCCATACACAGTTTCAAGTGTAGATATGACAGAGCCCGATAGGCTCAGGATCTGTACACCTGTTGATTGACGGTTGAGAGGCGGGACCAAAGAGCCAGAGCTCAACCCCCGCAAACACAACTAGGTGAGTACAACTAGGTGAGTACACACACACACACACACACACACACACACATTACCAAAGAGTCAAAGCTCAACCCCCGCAAGCACAAATAGGTGAGTACACAGGAAGCAGCCCGTAACAGCTGTCTTACTTCAAGGTACCTATTTACTGCTAGGTAACAGGAGCATCAGGGTGAAAGAAACCCTGCTCATTTTTGTTTCTCGCCGGCGCCGGGAATGGAACCCGGGCCACAGGATTACGTGTCCAGCGTTCTGTCCACACAGCCACCGGCCCTAACTTGTGAGAGCTTGGTCACTTATGCTGTTGCTTGGAGCAGCCCGCAGACCCACATACCCACCACAGCCCGGTTGGTCCGGCACTCCTTGGAGAAAACTATCTAGTTTTCTCTTGACGATGTCCACGGTTGTTCCGGCAATAGTTCTTATACTCGCTGGGAGGACGTTGAACAACCGTGGCTGTGCCTCATGCGTCAGGCTGCGAGCAGCCGCATCCAACAGCCTGGTTGACCAGTCCAGCAGCTAGGAGGCCTGGTCAACGACCGAGCCGCGGGGACGTTGAGCCCCGAAATGTAACCGCAAGGCAAGGTAAGGACTACTTTAGAAAGCACAATGCCGCTAGAAATTGCCCCCCCCCTACTTGTTATTGGTTCCAGGGATCCCCGCTCCCCGCGGCTCGGTCTCTGACCAGGCCTCCTGGCTAGCTGGTCTGGTCAACCAGGCTGTTGGCTAATGCACTTAGTCTCTCTCTCTCCTCCTCACACAAACAACACTTATATTTAGTGTTAGATAACGAAATCCTCATAAAAAGTTACTTTGCAAAAAAACACTAAATAGCAACAAAAGTCTTTCACGTCGTCTTCAGAAAACATCATCAATAATCATCGCTCTCAGATCTCAACTGGAAATGTTGTAGTGGAAAGTTGAGAGGTTGCTCTGGGGATTGCCGGGTTGTGATGGCTACCTGTGGCTGTGCGGGCGGCCTGCACAAATAGCCCTGTAGATCAAGGCAGCGCCAGAATAAAAAAATCCGGTCTCATCGACGTTATGCGAGAGCGGGAAAAAGCTCTTGAAATCTCCCCCACAGGTAAACCCCAGAAGGTAAACCCCAGAAGGTAAACCCCAGAAGGTAAACCCCAGAAGGTAAACCCCAGAAGGGTTGTGAAAGCCGAGGAAAGTGTTTGAAGGGTTGTGAAAAACGTGAAGATTGTGCGTGGAGGGTTTAGGAAAACCCAGGAGCAATTTAGAGGTTTTTGAAGCTTATAATTAGACTCTGAAGACTTCAAAGGTGCCGCAGTGCTTGAAGCGCAAATTTTGAATTCAAGAAGGCTTCTGCAAGAGCCCAAGGAAGCCTGGGTACACCTTCGGGAGCCTCTCAAGGAGCGGGTTAATTCTTTGAAGACGGTTGGTTCCCTAGGGAGTCGCCCCGGGGGGGTGTGTGGGAAGGGGAGTGGGAAGACTAGACGACTTAGCTAATAACGTAGACATTACTAAAGGTCGCTGAAGGTCACCACTGCTGCTGCTGCTGCTGCTGCTGCTGCTGCTGCTGCTGCTGCTGCTGCTGCTCAAGACGATACAGGGGCCGTGAGAGTGGGGTAAGGAGGGGGGGGGGGGTGTGGTTTACCTGGACAAGGGTGGTAGTGGAGTTGTTGTTGTAAGGTAAGGTAAGGTACTGCTGTTCCTCAAGGTAACCCTCAAGGTAAGGTTGTTAGAGGGCGCCCCATCATCATCCAGGGACGCCCCGGCCCTCCAGAGGGCGCCCCATCATCATCTAGGGACGCCCCGGCCCTCCAGAGGCGCTACAGCAGTAGGTGGGGCTTGCACCACGTTATTCATATTCCTTATCTTTATTCATTATCCTTATCAGTTATTCATATTCCTTAAGGCGTGTGGGTAGATCACTGCTACTTTCCTTCCAAGGCGACGTATTATATTTCAAAGCGACCGGTCCATATTACTAAAATGCGACGTAATAGCGACGTCTTTTGTATGTTTTGTCTTCGGTTGGCTCATACGTCAGGCTGCGAGCAGCCGCGTCCAACAGCCTGGTTGATCAGTCCAGCAACCAGGAGGCCTGGTCGACGACCGGGCCACGGGGACGCTAAGCCCCGGAAGCACCTCAAGGTAACCTCAAGGTAAGGTAGCGTTTCTGGTCACGCAAAACAGTTGCATTTGTTACGGAAGGGGGACTATCAGGAGAAAGCGTCAAGCCTTTACAACTACATAGCAAAGCTAACATTGCCTAAACAAAGCTAACATTGACTAAACAAAGCTAACATTGCCTAAACAAAGCTAACATTGCCTAAACAAAGCTAACATAGCCTAAACAAAGCTAACATTGCCTAAACAAAGCTAACATTGCCTAAACAAAGCTAACATTGCCTAAACAAAGCTAACATTGCCTAAACAAAGCTAACATTGCCTAAACAAAGCTAACATTGACTAAACAAAGCTAACATTGCCTAAACAAAGCTAACATTGCCTAAACAAAGCTAACATTACCTAAACAAAGCTAACATTGCCTAAACAAAGCTAACATTGCCTAAACAAAGCGAACATTGCCTAAACAAAGCTAACATTACCTAAACAAAGCTAACATTGCCTAAACAAAGCGAACATTGCCTAAACAAAGCTAACATTACCTAAACAAAGCTAACATTGCCTAAACAAAGCTAACATTGACTAAACAAAGCTAACATTGCCTAAACAAAGCGAACATTGCCTAAACAAAGCTAACATTACCTAAACAAAGCTAACATTGCCTAAACAAAGCTAACATTGCCTAAACAAAGCGAACATTGCCTAAACAAAGCTAACATTACCTAAACAAAGCTAACATTGCCTAAACAAAGCTAACATTACCTAAACAAAGCGAACATTGCCTAAACAAAGCTAACATTGCCTAAACAAAGCGAACAGTGAATAAACTATTTGGCGGGTTGATTTAATTAGCCGGTCGTTACTTACACCCCTGCCTCGCCCCATTTCAATCACAGCAATTCCATTATCTCCTGACGATGCGAAAAATAGACTACGATTGCTTGCCAATAAATCATTCCCTCCCCTGAAGATCTATGCAGGGACGCCCCGGCCCTCCAGAGGGCGCCCCATCATCATCCAGGGACGCCCCGGTCCTCCAGAGGGCGCCCCATCATTATCCAGGGACGCCCCGGCCCTCCAGATGGCGCCCCATCATCTAGGGACGCCCCGGGCCTCCAGAGGGCGCCCCATCATCATCCAGGGACGCCCCGGCCCTCCAGAGGGCGCCCCATCATCATCTAGGGACGCCCCGGCCCTCCAGATGGCGCCCCATCATCTAGGGACGCCCCGGCCCTCCAGAGGGTGCCCCATCATCTAGGGACGCCCCGGCCCTCCAGAGGGCGCCCCATCATCATCTAGGGACGCCCCGGCCCTCCAGAGGGCGCCCCATCATCATCCAGGGACGCCCCGGCCCTCCAGAGGGCGCCCCATCATCAACCAGGGACGTGTGATTCATATCCTCAACTGCGCCCAGCGGCGGCTGTGGCTGTCTGACCAGATCGTCTAATGAACAAACCCACAAGGGCCGTGACGAGGATTCGAACCTGCGTCCGAGAGGATCCCAGACGCGCCTTAATCGACTGAGCTACGACATGGTATAAGAATTGCAACCGGGAAATCAACTTGAACTACCACGGATCCTGTAGATCGTCTTATCTATTTTCTAGTGTTTCCGGGGATGGGCGTCCTAGCGAGCTGGGGGGTGTCACCCGGCTTGCTGCCTGGATGGGTGGTCATTTGGTCAACCAGGCTGTTAGACGTAGCTGTTTGCAGTCTGACGTGTATCACAACCCGGATGAAAGAATTCTTATAGACATCAGTGACCCAAGAGTTTTCAATGCTCTCTCTACACACATAGAGGGCATAACTGGCCCGCCTCTCACGGTGTTTAAGAGAGAACTTGATAAACACCTCCAAAGGATCAACTAGGTTATGTTGTCATTTGTCATTTATATTCATGCGTGCGGTTGCGTCCGATAGCCTGACCAGACCAACTGGAAGACCTGGTCAGAGACCGGGCCGTGGGGACGTTGATCCCCGGAGCAGTAAGAACTGTTGGTGGAAGTGTCTTTGAGCCCAACCTCAGACCGGGCTCGGGGAGGAGGAGAACTCTGGAAACTCTCTCCAGGTACGCTCCAGGCAATCACAACAAGCTACAGTAACGTTGGCGTGTGAGTGTGAGAGAGACGTGCTCCGGGCACTGAAGATACGCCTGGTTGAACTCCCTGCTAGAAATGAGTGATGCCACGCCCGCTCAAGGCTGGCTGGTGCAACGCTCTCTGGCTAATGATATGCTTAGGCGTCCTCCTGCTTGCCTGCTGCTGCTGCTGCTGCTCTGACTGCTGGCGGTGATGGGGTTGGTGTACTGGTGATGCTGTAATGGCTGCTGCAAGCTTCCTGCAGTCTACTGAATGCTGTTATCTTTGTCTGGTGCTGTTTTTGCCGTCATTGCGTTGGTCGGCTGTGGTGAGAATGCTAATGTCGTCCGCTGGTATTGTGTTCCACGCTTAAGCCGGCCTTAATTTATGGTTGCTTTGAGCTCATTTCGCGGGATCAGTGTCCTGGGGACTGGGCTTTATCCTGGCCTTTTGATTAGTGTTTTGGCGGGATAGGAAGGATACCTAATACACCGTTGCTCGGTTCATTAGGTATCCTTGGAGGTGCTTGGTAAAGTTATATTTTGAACACCGTGAGAGGTCGGCTAGTTAGCCCATTACGTTTTGGAGGCGTAAGGGGGGAGTTGGGGAGAGTTGAGAAGATTTGTGACTTTAGTTAAATGTTGACAGAGTTCTCTCTCAGCGTATCTATTGCACCTCTGCTGGTCAAATGCTTTTCTATTTTGCACTTCCTGCCATGCCACCTGGTCTCATATGGAGTTATTTTCGGGAGCAGATTTGGAAGCAGTCCTAGTATTTTCCAAGTGTAAATTATTATGTATGTGCGTATATATTATATCTCTCTTTGTTTCAGAAACAGTTTCGGATTCTGAATTTTACAACTGTAATTATATTTTAATGGTTCTTGCAGCATCCTCTGGTATCTTAATGATATTTTCCAAGTTCTAGTTCTAGTTTTCCAAGTGCTAGTTCTCTCGACAATGAAATGCCGTTGCACACTAACAGTTGTTGTTGTTAAAGATTCGCTACCTGGAACAAAAATGTTCCAAGTAGCACGGGCTATGGTGAGCCCGTAGTGGATGATTTTGCACACTAACAGCCCTTTTCAAAGCTGGGAAATGTTAGACCTGGAGAGCGTGCAGAGAACCTTTACTGTTATAATCCACTCAATAAAACATCTAAATTATCGTGACTGACTAACTGACGGGTGGTAATACCGCTGTGTAAGTGTTGACAATCTACTCCCAGGTATAATCTCCCACTATAACATTGACGACGACCTCGACTCCCAGGGTAGAAGGCATACGACTCCAGGCATAAGTGAACATCACGAGAAACGATGGGCATAGTTTCTTTCACCCTATGCCCCTGTTACCTAGCAGTAAAATAGGTACCTGGGAGTTAGTCAGCTGTCACGGGCTGCTTCCTGGGGGTGGAGGCCTGGTCAAGGACCGGGCCTCGGGGACACTAAAAAAGCCCCGAAATCATCTCAAGATAACCTCAAGAAGAAGATAACATCCTGCCTTCCACAATCACCAGGATTGTGCGCGACACATCCCACGATTGTGGTTGGGATGGGTCGTCGGTTATTTCTGAGCTGTCCCTGGCTGTTGTGACCCCCATCCCCCCCCCCTCAACCCCCTCCCTTCCCCCTTCCTGAAGATGAAACTGTGTGTTAATTGTGGTTGTGAGCGATTGACGAGCGATTCAAGCCAAGTTGATCGCGCGATAAGTAAGGGTTGTTGAGAGCAATGTATTGCCGGGTTGTGTCGTGAAGTCTTAGCGTGGTCTCGCCGGTGACTTAAGAGGTTTTTTTTTTCTGTTGTAATTTCTTCGGACTCTTAATTAAGTCTTAAAGTCTAACTTTTGGGGGTTTATCTGTAAACATGGAGTTTTTCAGGTCCAAAATTATTACATCTTGCCACAAGAGTGTAATACTTATATGCGGTGCTTGCTATATTAACCAGCAATATTAAATGGGTTTCTTGTTTTGTGATTTGTGTATTTGTACTCACTGAATTTGTGCGCCCCTTGAGGGACTTGAAGTACAAGGGGGGGTAGAAATAGCCTAACCTAACCTATCCCTTTGAGATGTATTTTTTCTTGTCTTAATAAACATACTTGAACTGTTACATCACTGAATATCTTTTTTTTCCCTCTCCCTCATTACTGGACCTTGTTTATTATTATATTCACCGTGTTCATTATTATATTCACCGTGTTCATTATATATTCACCGTGTTCATTATATATTCATTGTACTCTAAATATTAATAATATTTGTAATTTTTTAACTTATTTGTGGTAATGAGTCTGTTGTATCTTCCTGCAGGTAGGAGATGAGGACTGGTAGTGTTGACTTGTAGGTGTGTAGGTGGGGGATAGTGGTGGTGGTGTGGAGGTGGTGGTGGTACACTATCCAGGGATCGTCGCTACTATCACCGGTAAGCTCATTTTATTTTGCGTTACTACTGCTGTTAACAATGTCACTACTACTACTACATTGTTGATCAGTCCAGCAACCAGGAGGCCTGGTCGACGACCGGGCCGCGGGGACGCTGAGCCCCGGAAGCACCTCAAGGTAACTACTGACATAACCTCTACCGCTAGTATTACCATGAATACTACTACTAATAATAGTAATAATAATAATAATAATAATAATAATAATAATAATATTTCGAACAGTGAATTCTGAATTGACACAGAAATATAGATAACGGAAGACTATCCTGGGGGCCCGATTCACGAAGCACTTACGCAAGCACTTACGAACGTGTACATCTTTCCTCAATCTTTGGCGGCTTTGGTTACATTTATTAAACAGTTTACAAGCATGAAAACTTTCCATCCAGTCAACTGTTGTTATTGTTATAAACAGCCTCCTGGTGCTTCGGAGCTCATTAACCGTTTAATAATTGTAAACAAAGCCGCCAAAGATTGAGAAAAGACGTACAGGTTCGTAAGTGCTTGCGTAACTGCTTCGTGAATCGGGCGTCGGGTATACACAACACCACAACTGATATGGTGGAAGTACAACTACCGAGGAATTTTGCCCCCTACAACCTCCCTTTCCCCCTTCCCTTCCCCTACGAAGGGTTGCGATAGGAAAAGAACTCTCGAAATGGTGCACAGGTTCTCCACAGGTGTGTGAGGACAGTCCGTCATCGTCCCAGGGGACAGAAACCAACAGGTGGGACAGAAGGTTAACACGGGTTGTTCTCCGAGCTGAGTGTGTCAATATGGGCGCCAGACGAGCAGAGGTGGGTGTCTGGTGAGTGTGTTTGGTGGGTGAAGCAACAGCAGGGGTATGTACTCAACACACATCCACACACACACATAAATACACATACATCTACACACACACATACACACACATGTAATTCCTGTGTAAGGAATCGTTCAGAATCTTGTACACCACATATGTAAGACCAATCCTGGAATATGCGGCCCCAGCATGGAGCCCGTACCTTGTCAATCCTGTTGATTGACGGTTGAGAGGCGGGACCAAAGAGTTAAAGCTCAACCCCCGCAAGCACAACTAGGTGAGTACATGCTGGGGCCGCATACTCCAGGATTGGCCTTACGTATGTGGTGTACAAGATTCTGAACGATTCCTTACACAGGTTCCTGAAGGCTGTTCTGATGTTAGCCAGCCGCGCAATTACGTCTGCGGCATATGCGAGGCTGGCTAACATCAGAACAGCCTTCAGGAACCTGTGTAAGGAATCGTTCAGAATCTTGTACACCACATATGTAAGACCAATCCTGGAGTATGCGGCCCCAGCATGGAGCCCGTACCTTGTCAAGCACAAGACGAAGCTGGAAAAAGTTCAGAAGTATGCCACTAGACTGGTCCCAGAACTAAGAGGCATGAGTTACGAGGAAAGGCTGCGGGAAATACACCTTACCACACTGGAAGACAGAAGAGTGAGGGGAGACATGATCACAACCTACAAAATCCTCAGGGGAATTGACAGGGGGTAGACAAGGATAAACTTTTCAACACTGGCGGTACGCGAACAAGGGGACACAGGTAGAAATTGAGTACCCAAATAAGCCACAGGGACGTTAGAAAGAACTTTTTCAGTGTCAGAGTAGTTAACAGGTGGAATGCATTAGGCAGTGATGTGGTGGAGGCTGACTCCATACACAGCTTTAAATGTAGATACGATAGAGCCCAGTAGGCTCAGGAATCTGT